AAAATACAGTAGCTATAATGAACAAAAAGGAAAGAAACTTTACAGACCTTCCTACATCAATAAAGGGATCAACTCATCTAGTAATGTAACAAAAACAGAAGGCTTGCTAATAGCAAACCAACCTTGAACACATGCTCAAGTTCAGGTAACAACCCAAACCAAATCAAATCTACTGTCCCCAAGTCAGTTACACCTCATAGCAACTCTATAGGACAGGACGAAACTGCCTCATAGGGCTTCTGAGGCTGTAAGTCGTTATGGAAGCAGGCTGTCCCATCTTTCTCCCCTGGAGCCACAGTGGTTGATAGGTTCAAACTGCCAACCTTCCCATTAGCAGCTGAGCATTAACCACTGCGCCACCAAGGCTCCTTTGGTTAACAACCAGAAGAAACCAAACTGACTGCCATCGAGTCGGTTTTGACTCATAGCAACCCCTCCTTGGGTTTCTGAGGTGATGTCCCTACAGAAGTAGATTGCCTAGTCTTCCTTCCGAGGAGTGGCTGGTGGGTTTGAACCATCAGCCTTCTGGTTAACAGCCAGATGCCTTAGGCACTACACCACCACCAGAGCTCCACTGGGTAACAACATAATTCAATATTCACCAAAGTACTAGAGATTCAGATGTGGCCTCTGGACTCCAAAAATTCCCAAGGGAGTTAGTCAGTCATATACCGACTGACGCACAAGGCCAGTATGGCAAGAGCCACGGGATACAGGTATAAATAAGCATGAGGAAAAACACGCTGCTTGAAGAAAGGATGGATGATATTAAAGAAGGCCTCCCTACAAGAGAAGTGATGTTTGAGTTAGGCCTTGAAGATCAAGCAGGAGTTAACTACCTGGAAGAGAGACGGAGGAAAAAGGGCATCACCGGTGAAGGAAAGCGCCCTGCAGAGGAAGACACACTGGGTGCCCGTCACCTTTCATGAAGCCACCAGGCCCTGATTGAGTGGCTACACTGAATGTGGCACCTTAAGTGGAAAGGTGAGAAAAAAACACACACAATAAAACGTACACAATGAGATACCTTTACTGGCCCAGACACGAAAGAGCCAGAGACGGAGGCCAAATGTTTGGGTAGACCTGTCCCAGCAAGCACCTTCATTGAGAACCTGTTCTCCAGGTGTGACCAATATTTATGATCCTCCATTCTCCACGTCATCCTGTCACCATGATTCTACGTGATTAGAGTGATCACTGGATGGGGGAACATGACAGCCACGGACACTATGCCCATCTCAAAGGTCAGAAAACTTGGGAGGAAGCAGGAAGAGATCTGTTAGACTGTGGGGATTGCAAGTAACGTCACAAAACAGTGTGTATGAAGTATTGAATGGAAAACAGATTTATTCTGTAAACTTTCACCCAAATCACAATTAAAAAAAAAAAAGTCAGAAGATCAGTTATGGGGCCAAGAGGGAGCTTCCTTATTTGCAAACTCCATCCTTCAAAAACAAACGACACAGCAGAATGTACCGTAGCCTGGATTAGCTTTGCAGGTTTGAACCTTGTATGCCACACCCACCCAGTCTGTACCCGTGCTTGGCTTCTTTCACTTGCTGTTCACTTTGACACCTTCTCTGTTGCTGCGCACAGCTGTGCGCCATCCAGCTAGGGCTCCGTCATTTTCCACCAAGTGAACACGCCACAATTAAGTGTCCACTGTACTCAAGACGGCCATTTGGGCAGGTCCCGGTTTTTGATTAGTGAGAGTAACGATACTATGAACATGTCTTTCCGAGAACGTACGTTCTTGCTTCTATTGTGTCCTCTGCGCAGGATCCCCTAGCTCCTCCAAAAAACCCCAAACTCACTGCCGTCAAGTCAGTTCCAGCTCATAGCAACCCCCATTGGGTTTCCAAAGCTGTAAATCTTTACAGAAGCAGACTGCCCCAGCTTTCTTCCATGGACCGGCTGATGGCTAGCTATTACATGGTGTTAAACATTCCTGCCTCGTAAGATGATTAACCTGCGTTAAATACTGTTGTTGTCAGTTGCCATTGAGTTGATGCCAACTTTTAGCAACCCCATGTTTAAGTCCTCAATTAATGGTCACCTGTGGACTATGAGGAGCCTTGGTGGCACAGAGGTTAGGCACTCTGCTGTTGTAACCTACCAGCTGCTCCACAGGAGAAAGACACCGCAGGCTGCTTCTGGAAAGATTATAGCCTAGGAAACGCTGTGGGTATTCTCTGTCCTTTAGGGTCACGATGAGTTGGAACTGTTCTGACAGCAACAGGTTTGGTTTGCTGGTTTTGTACCACAGCCTGCATTGCTTTCCTAAGTCTGAACAAAACATAGGGACACCCTGCTTCCTCCAATTAGACCCAAGGCACTGGCTGTGAAGCAAACTCTTCACCACCTCTCTCACCCCACACACACCCTGCCTTCCCATACCCCTTTGCTCCCTTCTGACCGTCTCTGACCTCCTCACCAGGCCGCAAACAGACCGGCTCTCTCACAGTTGTACTTTCACATACACAGGTCTCTCACCCAGAGAGCCCGGTGCCGGGCCCAGCACGTTCCTTGGCCTGACCCTGCACAGCAGCCCATTCCCCTATGCCTAGCAGACTGAGTTACCCCGTCTTATGAGGACCCCAGGTCTTTGTTCGTACTGCTGCTGGAGCCCTTGACATGCCATCTGCCTTATTCATCCAACTATCCCAAGTCCCTGACACAGGGCTGCACCTTGGGGGAGCTGGAAAAATATCTATTACGAAGACAGATGATTTTCCAATCATGGTAAACCAACCACTTGTCCTCACTTCTGACTTTTTCCCATAAGGCTGGAGACTAAAGCCAAAACCCTTTCTTTTTCATTCACCAGGTTTTACTGCAACATTTCTGTTGAAAAGATCTTCATTTGTGATGGAGAAAGCCATTTCAAACCTTTTTCGTAAACAGAGACAACTGCTGGGAATTTCTCATGTTCATCTGTTTGCCTCACAGGAAATGGAAAATACAGAGCAACGGCCACAGAACGTACAACGTGTATCAGACGGGAAGCAGAGTGGACTCGGCCCCAGCACTGAGGCCGCTGACCTTGCCACCCTCGGCCTGCAGAGAGGAAAGAGGTACATGCTTTGATCCCCAACACACAGGCAGGGAAAATGAGACGCAAAGGCTGAGCAGCTTGTCAAGGGTTGGTCACCAAGACAGAGGTTGTCCTAGCAAAAAGCCCTGATACTCTACCTACACTCAGGAAGTACCGCATTTTTACACAGATAACACGTGCCCTATACGGTCTTTTGCAAACCTTTGTGCCATTAGTTTCTTATGTGCAATATGCATATTATACAAACGTGCATGTTATCTGCATGGGCATGTTAATATACAAAAAATATGATACACCATATCAGGTTGGCTCAGCTAATCACAGATTTAGAGACTCTCTCACTAAATGAAATCAAGTTTGATTTAGAACTGGGGTAGGGAAACTTCAGTCAAATCCAGCCCACTGCCTGTTTTCATGGGGAGCTCTGGTGGCATATTGCCTAAGGCATTTAACTTTGAAGGCTGGCGGTTCAAACACACCAGGCACTCCTTGGAAGGAAGACTGGGCAATTACTTCTGTAGTGATACCGCCTCGCAAACCCAAGGAGGGGTCGCTATGAGTCAGAGCACCCTCGACGGCAGTGAGTTTGGTTTTGGTTTCTGCCAGTTTTCATAAATAAAGTTTTATTGGAACACGGCCACACCCATTCACATACCGATTGTCTACAGCTGCTTTCACACTACAACTGCAGGGCTGAGTATCTTCAACAGCGACCTTCCAACCCACAAAGCCTGAAATACTATCTCTCTGACCCATACAGAAAACAATTTGCCCACCTCTCATCTAGAGAAGAGTTTGACATCTGGGGAATCCCTGGGTGTGCTCAGCTGCTAACCCAAAGGCTGGAGGTGTGGTTCTACTCAGAGGTACGTTGGAAGAAAGGCCTGGTAATCTACTGCTGAGCCAGCCACAGAGAAGCCAACGGAGCACAGTTCTGCTCTGACACACACGGCGTCACCAGGCACCAGCGTCAACCCAGTGGCGAGGGGCTGACCTCTGAGTTTAAGAGAATCTTCAACTAGCTCCTGTTGAAACTACTTTACTTCACAGGGGGGTTTATAGTTAAAAAACCGACCATCTCAGATTCACGTTTGTAATTCAGAGAATTAAGTTCAACGGTTTGGTTCGGGGCTCAAAGTCATGTCATCTCTCTGCCTTTGGGTACCCGGCTCAGTGGTCCTTCAGTAGCACGTTTTTACCAGCCTGGCACAGAGCAGGCAGGTGAGGTGGGGTGTCTGGTGCTCAGAGGACTGCTTTCACTCAAGTTTGAACAGTCAGGATTCAGAGAGTCAATCTGTATTCCGCCAGCTGAACTAATCCTATTCCCACAAAGATCCACCCATTTTCAGTGGCAGCTGGCTTCTCCCACCGAAGCCCTGGGCAGTGCTTAAGCACTTGGCTTCCAACCAAAAGGCCGGCAGTTTGAACCCACCGGCCACTCCCTGCAAGAAAGACTCGACAGCCTGTGCTTCTGTAAAGATGGCAGGCTTGGAAACGCTCCGGGGCAGTTCTGCTCTGTCCTAGAGGGTCGCCAGGAATCGCAACCAACTGGATGGCGATGAGTTTGGTTTAGAGTTCAGCTCTTCTCATTAATAAAAGTATAGCTTCTTCCAAGTTCTTTCACAGAGCCTCTTAAAAACACCTGCAAAAAGTACACCAGTCACCACTGCCAAATGATGATACTGTCCAACAATAGTAACATGATGACCGTGGCATGTTTAAAAAATAATAACGAAGGAAGTACACTGTTCTCCAATATCAACAGATTCTTTGAGTCAGTTTTTTAAAGTAAACTCATCTAACAATAACTTTACAGCAGACTTTAGGGAAGAAACTCAGCCTCCAACTTTTCTGACAAATGTTTGATTGTATAGGATACTTTCATTTTTAAACAATTTTATTAGTTTTAAAACACACACAAAAATAGAAAGTATAATAAACCTACCTCCCTGTCTCAAGCATCCAGCCTCCATGACGGTAAGCGTTCTGCCAGTCATTTTCCACCTCCTCCTCTCCCCCAGCTCCGTTGGTTGACTGACTTGACTGGTGCAGCATTTGAAAGCAGACCATGCACATCGAATCCCTTCACTCACCAGTGCTCCTGTTGGCACTGCTACTAGGTAAGGGCTTTTGCCTTGGACCCAAACCATGACATCATTACCACATCCAACAAAATCAATAATAATTCTCAATATTACCTAGTACCCAGGCCAAGTTCAATGTCTTTTTATAGCTGGTTTGTTCAGCTAAGGATTCAAATATGACCACATGCTGTCTTTTGTTGATAGGTCTCTTAGGCCCCCTTTTCTCCGTAAAGCTCCGTCTCTATCATTTTTCTCATCCATCAATAGCACGTATTTAAATTCTAATTGGCCAAGTAAACCTGTGCTTCTGACCCAACCAAGTCATTGCCCTGAGTTGATTTTGACTCCTAGTGACAGAACAGAACTGCCCCAGAGGGTGTCCAAAGCTATAATCTCTTTGGAAGCAGACTGCCACATCTTTCTCCTATGGAGAGGCTGGTGGGTCCGAACCAAGGACCTTTCAGTTAGGAGCCAAGCACTTAATCACTGCGCCACCAGGGCTCCTTCTCGGGCCTCCACATGCTGTGAACCAACTCCGCCAGAGGCCCTAAGGCCCTGGGGAGCAGACCACATAGCTCCACCTTCCATGTGCGGACCCACACCAGCACCCAAACGCCACACCCTTCCAGACACTTCTGCTCTTGGAGAAGGAATCTGGATTGCTTCGGCAGGCCAATTCTCCCAAATTAAGTCTTTTCTGTGGGGCAGTGGCCTGAAGACTCTGAGTGATTTAACAAAACAAGGCCCCCATTCATTACGGCTGCTTTTAGAAGTCAGCCAAATCTAATCAAGAATCACAAAGTGAATCAGTCCAGCCTCCTAATCCATCATTGTTAGCAGGAACACACATTAATTGAACACCTAGATCAGGCAGGGCCCTGTGTGATAAGAAACCTGGCTTGTATCTCTGCCCAAAGGGACTGAGAGTCTAAATGGAGAGATCGCCCTGCCACTTAGGTACGAACACCCAGAAGGACGGCACAGTTCCACCACACTGACACCCAGGCCCCTACTATGGGCTAGGAGTACCTGTGAGGCCGGGCTGTGTAGTGGAATAAGAACAAGAGACACAAGGACCAGAGTTTGAGTGCTAATTCTATCACGTATGAGCTGTGCCACACTGGAGAAGTTACTTCACCTCTCTGAGTCACATTTTTATCAGGTGTGAAATAGAAATAATCCCACCTACCTCCTAGAACACAGAAGTAGATTGCCCAACCTTCCTTCCAAGGAGTGTCTGGTGCGTTTGAACCGCCAGGCTTCTGGTTAGCAGTCAAGTGCCTTAGGCACTACGCTACCAGAGCTCCCAATAAAAGACTAGCAACCATGGATGAACCCCCAAAACGACTGCCCTGAGATCATCTTTAAACCTTAAACCAAAAATATCCCCTGAAGTCTTAAAACTCAACAGTAGTTTAGTTTAACTAGTAAAAAATATCTGTCTTGAGCATTACGCTCTTTCAAGAACGATCCATAGGAGACAGAATCGGCAACAGCAACATGGAAGATTCCATCAGAACACGATGGGCAGTGAGTTTATGTTCATGCAGGAGGAACACCTCAGAAAAGGGTGGAATGGTCACACAACCTGAAACGTCACCAGTGTCACCAAGTTGCACACGGAGAAATGTACACATATTGTCAACAACCTAAGCCTAGCAAGGACAAAGGTGATGATAAATGATAAACCACTGGCCGTAAGCCAAGTGCTGGTCTAAACTCTCACATGTCTTATCTCATCTGATCCTCCCACCAGCCAAAAGGCGGCTTCGTGATTAGGCCCTTGCAGCTGAAGAAATTAAACAGAGTGGGGCAGTGATGTACCTCAAGCAGAAACCACAGGCGCTTAGGATGTGAGTGATGAGACTTCCAAGGTCCTGCTGTCAACTGTGTGTGACAGTGCCTCCCAACTGCCCCGTGGCAAGATGAAGGGTGGTATGAAAGGCTTGGAACCCGCTTCCCACAGGTCACAGCCCTGAAAGCCCTATGGAGTTCTACTCTGCAACACATGGAGTCGACAGGAGTGGCACGGACTCCACTGCAACTGGTTTGGCTTTTCTGGGAAGGTGGGGTCCAGGGCAGCAGCTGAAGTAGTGGGCAGTGGGGAGGGATTCCTGCGATGGCTATTAGATCAAGGGTACCACAAAGTTTTCAGGTGCAGGCCTGCGTCCCTTCGCAACACCCCCACCCCCATTGCCACCTATACAGGAAGCTCCAGAAGGTTTCCAAAGTTGCCTTACCCAAGGGGTGGGTTTGTTTAGAGCCATGACAGTGGTTTGCTTCCTTTCTGGGGCAAATCTCCAGCTGTCTACTAACGACTATTTAAAGCCTTCTTTACCACACATCTCAATGTGCAATATTTGCTCACATTTTTCTATATAATCTTACTTCCTTTTTGTATACACATGCAACTGGATCAGGAAAGAGTTTAATCTGTAGTCACCATACTGTGAGAAGCCTGACTGGCTAAGTGGAAAAGGCACCCGGAGGGCAAGTGAGGCAGAACCCAGAACGAGTGGAGCTACTTGGACCTCCAGCCTTCCCAGCGGCCCAGCTGAGACCCCGTGAGGCAGAAGCACCACAGTCACCATACAGAACTTAAGAAATAATAAAATGCTGGGGTTTAAGCCACTGTTTCAAGACGACTTACTGGATAACCAAAATGGCCAGAAATCAGCTTTTCCTGCCGGGCCAAATAAATATCAAACACTGCTGGGGCAGCTCACTGCTGTTTATCAATAGAAATGTTGCAGCCTTCATTTGCACGGATGGCCACTGACTGAAACATTCAGTTCTGGAAACAGGGAGTCTACACCATACCTGGCTCAACAAAACAGTATACATGATGAAGAACACGGCATCAGGATTGGAGGAAGACATAGGCAGATGACATAACCTTGCTTGCTGTAAGTGTAGAGGACTTGAAGCACTCACTGAGGAAGATCAAAGACTACAGTCGTCAGTATAGATTACACCTCAACATAAAGAAAACAAAAGTCCTCACAACTGGACCAATAAGCAACATCACGGTGAGTGGGGAACAGATGGAAGTTGTCCAAGATTTCATTTTATTTGGATTCCCAATCTGTACTCATGGAAGCAGCAGTCAAGAAATTAGACAATGTACTGTGCTGGGCAAATGTGCCGCATTTGCCTTAAAGTGGTAAGGAGCAAAGATGTCTCTCTGAAGACTAAGGTACACGTGACTCAAGCCATGATATTTTCAATCGCCTCATATGCATGTGAAAGCTGGACAATCAGTAAGGAAGACAGAAGAGTTGATGCCTTTCAATTGTAGTGTTGGTGAATACTGAAAATACCACGGACTGCCAGAAGCATGAGCCAATCTGTTTCAGAAGAAGTGCAGCTGGAATGCTCCTTGGAAGCAAGAACGGCCAGGCTTTGTCTCACCTACTCTGGTTAGAAGGGACCAGTCCCTAGAGAAAGACACCCTGCTGAGTAAATTAGAGGGTTAGCAATAAAGGGGAAGACCCTGAACAAGATGGATCAACACCAGGCTCAAGCATGGCAAGGCCTATGAATGCGGTGCAGCCTGGGCAGTGTTTCATTCAGTTGTACACAGGTTCATGCAGCGTAGGCAATTACATAGTGTGGCTTCTCCAGCCATAGTCTTTGTAAGCACCATGGTAGAATTTGCCATGAGCAACTAAGTAGCTCCTGATTGTTAAGTTATCCACCTGGGGTATTTCTGTTGCACGTAGCATGAAGCAATTTTCTGGGGAAGTTCACTCTCTCTCAGGTGTGTGGAATTCTGGTGCTGGGATTGGTTGGTTTTGCCACTTTGCCAGGCTTAAAGTGAGCCCTCCTAGAGGCAGAGAGAGATGTGTGGGTGAGAGTCTGACCCATTACTGAAAGAGAGACGCCCTCCTAGAGGCAGAGAGGAGGAGTATGTCTCACTGCTGGCTGAGAGAGACGTGTGGCTGAGAGCCTGACCCATTACTGAAAGAGAGACGCCCGGCTGAGAAACAGCAGCAGTGGAACCAAGAGACATGAGACAGAGCAGCAGACTTATCTGGCGCCGAGGCAGGAGTCAGACGAAAGGCTAAGGGCCACAGAGGCAATGTCTAAGGGCATGGCAGAGGGGAGACCACCGTCCTGACTGAGAAACTCAATCCTGACAACGTTCTTGAATTTGAGTTGTAGCCTGTTGCTT